GACTGACTCCAGAATGGGATGAGGAGGAGAAGAAAGTCCATTGATTATCTCAAAATCCTGCTTCTGGGATGCAAACTGAAATTGAGGGAGTAAGGTACAATTCATACTTCACAATGAAATTCCACTTAGATAATCAGAGGTTCTTCTAAAGGCTCGGATGGATCTCTGAACTTCATTTTTTACAGAGCTTATGAAAAGCTAATGTATGCCGTATTTCTTACTGAAAGCAGTAACCTTCGTTGACTTCATTCTTGCTTGCTTAGGACTGAGCAGGGTACCCATCATGTATAATTGATCCACAAAGCAATTGAATGAATCCACTCACAAGACACATTAAAAATACTGATCTACCTTCTAAGCTCACCATGCCACTATAGAGTCTGCCAATTTCCATTCCGATGCATGAGGACAGTGCATTCATTTTCTACTTTGCTCTAGGGAAATGCCCTGTTCCCACCGAAAGTGGTCATAGTGAGGTGAGTCAGGAGATACAAAAGAATCGCTGTCTATCGTTGTAGCCCATTTCTTTACCCAGCGTCTATCAAAATCTCTGCCAGCTCCTACGTCACCTTTGGGATAAAAACCCAAGCCAGTGTGAGAGTAGCAACAGGACTTACCCCATAAACCCCACATCCTCTACCCCATCTTGTTCTGATTACGAGGAGGAGCAATTGTAATTATTATATGCTCCAGTGGCTATAAACTAATTCTTAGATCTATTTTGAATGCTAATTAATTATTTAATTCAATGAATATTTGATGAAAGCCTAATATGTATCACGTTCTGTGGATTCAGTAAAACGTGTAATAGACTGCCACTCTCATAATAGCATTCAATTTAGAGAGGAAGACAAACATCAAAGAACCATGTAAAAAAACATTAAACTACAATTGTGATGAATGTATGACTACAATAACAGGATGTGTCTGTAAATACAGAGTTTCCCTTTTCTCTTTCCCTGCATATAAACTTATGAGAATGACACTTGGATAATAAATCAATAAATGTTGTTATGAACAGCAACCCCCAAAACTTTAGCATTCCTTTTGGACATCTAAGATAGAAGCCTTCTAGAGGTTAACTAATCAGCTTGAGTTATATTTTTCAGTCCTAGAAATCTCATAGGAGCTCAATATGAAAGTGGGAAATGAAAAAACAGAACTACCCTTCACTGAAGTTTGAATTCATGATAAACTAACAAACAGACAAAAAAAAAAACCACTGCAGAAGAGTTTATTCTGACTCATAGAGATCCTATAGGATAAAGTAGAACTACTGCATAGGGCTTCTGAGGCTGTACATCTTTATGGAATTCCTTAGAGTGGTTAGGAACTGTCTACCCTTTGGTGGCAGCCAAATGCTTAACCAAGAGGAAGAGAAGAAGCTATTTATATTTTTCAGGAGCCCTGGTGGCCTAGTGGGCTATACATTGGGCTGCTAACTGTAAGGTCAGCAGTTAGAAATCACCAGCCGCTTCTTGGTATACAAATGAGGCTCTCTACTCTTGTAAACAGTTACATAAGAAGTTTTTATCTTGGAAACCCACAGGAACAGTTCTACTCTGCCCTATAAGGGTGAAGTAGGGTCATGTGCTGTGCTGTTAACTGCAAGATCAGTAGTTCAAAACCACCAGTTACTTCTTAGGAGAAATATGAGACTTTTTTCTCTTGTAAAGAGTTGCTGTCTAAGACGCCACATGAGTAGTTCTACCCCATCATACAGGGTCACCATGTGTCAGAATTGACTCAATGACATTGAAGTCATTTGTTATATTGGTTCATTAGATTTAACTAAAACCAAGAGTCTAGAGTTCAGTCTTTATGTTGTATGTGAGTTCTTAACAAAAGCATGATTGTCACCATTACATATGAATTGTGTCACTGCCCTAACACTGCTTTGTGCTCTACCTATTCACCCCTCTTTCCTCTTAACTCCGTGGGAGCCACCATCTCTATCATTGTAACCCCATATTAATATTTTATGTAGAGTTTTGCAGAAAATGAAGTCTTCAGAAATATATGTATGCCATATTATGACAGAAAAAAATTGTATAGCTTTCATTTTGTGTGCCAAGTACATTGGAGAAGATACATATGTAAAATAGTTGTTAAATATGAATGATGAGGTTTTCTCCTCCCATAATGAGTTACAGTCTGGGAAACCCACAGTGGCATTTGTACCCTATCCTGTAGGGTTGCTATGAGTCAGTATCTACTCCATTACAGTGAATTTGCTTTTTGGGTTTTTGGTTGTTAAACTGGGGTCTTTAGGTAATGAAAACCATTGATCCAGTTCCTTGCTAACCAAAAGGCTGGGGTTGAGATGTAGTCAATTCATATGGCCCTCATAGCCACAGTTCCTTATGTGACGTATTATAATTCTGGTCTCTGTGTCTGTGGCTGTGTTCCCATTTTGGAGGGAATCCTCTGTTACAGCATCAGGGTGGTTGTACATCCTGACCTTGAGGGTGTATTTGGACTAGAGGGAATGACTTATGACACCATCCTTCATTTTCCTTGGGGGTAAGATCGGGTAAAAGAGAAATCACACCTTCCTCAAAACCATTCCTTAGTACATGAGAGCCATCTGAGACACAGAAAGAAATTGTAGGACCTTGGAAGAACATTCCCAGGATCTCTGCCGGAAGAGGTGGAGGCCACCGAGACCAGATGCACCATAGACTGTGGCCTAGGGACTCAGAGGATCAGTGCCAAGACTACGGGTACCTTTTCCTCATCAGCCTGGACTATGGGACTGTGAGTCAGAGGAAGAGGCAGGTTAGCTTCCTGGCCCACAGAGGCAGAAGCCAAGGCACCATGTGGCTGTGAGACAGAGGACCAAAGAGAGGCTTGGCTGCTAGCCGAGGAGGGGATGCTATGGACCAGTGACTGTATCCTACCACATGACTGAGGGGCTGAAGACCAGAGAGGGATTTGATTGCCGGCTGAAGAGCGGTGTTGTGGGCCAATGGGTGTATGTTTACTGTTTACCTATTCTGACTTGTTCCTTCATACATTCCTTTAATTTTGATTATTGTCTGTAAGCTCTGTGTGGCCACTGTAATGAATCTATAACCTGGCATAGAAGTAGAGTATCATGGGAGGAATGGTTGGTGTCAGAATAGAGAATGAAGGATGGAGTGCAGAGGCATGTCTGACTCCTGCCTTGTCACAAGAGGGAAGCCAGAGGAGGTCAAATATGGCCCCTATGCTGCTTATTATAAGAGTCCACCCAGAGGTCCCCTCAGAAAAAAAGGCCTGGTAAACCTACTTCCAAAAAAGCAACCACTGAAACTCTGTAGAGCACAGTTCTGCTTTGATGCCCATGGGATTGCTGTGAGTCAGAGTCAACTCACTGGTATCTAGGGCTTGTTAAAGTTGGAATGGGGATGTGAAGGAGAAGGCACTTTATGCAGCTTGGTGTATCAAATGGACCTTGAAAGATGCAATGGATTTGGTTAAACTAAAGAGGGAAAATAACTGTTAGGAAAAGAAAATAGCATACCATCAACTGCTAATCATCTAAACTATGAACTCAAAAAGTGAATGAAATGCATAGCTCCTATTTTATTCACTTGTTCCTTCCTCTCCCTTCCAAATGCATTGCATTAAAATTTAATTAAGGTATTGTTGTTAACTAGTACATTTTAAAAATACAAATATTTGATGACAAACATTTTTGACATAGCTGTGGGGGCATGTGGAGCCCTGGTGGTGCAGTCACAGAGCTTGGCTGCTCACCTGAAGTCAGCATGTGGACCCCACCAGCTGCTCCATGGGAGGGAGATGCGGCAGCCTGCTTCCACAGAAACGTAGTCTTGGTTACCCTAGGGGCAGTTCTTTGCTGCCCTATAGAGTTGCTATGGGTCACAATCAACTCCATGGCTTTTGTGTAAGTGTGTGTGTGTGTGTGTGTGTGTGTGTGTTTGCATGTGCATGTGTGTGTGTGTAGACAAACACCCTCCCATCTGCTTGTGGGAATACAAAAGTCTATAATCATGTTTGAAAAGGGTTGCGAATATAGCAAAATTTCATATGGAGTTATTCTCTATCCAAGAAATCAAGTTGCTAGTTTTCTTTCAGTTACATTGGCAGAAATATAAAAATTTATGTCCATAATTCTATTCTGTATAGCATGATACTTAAGAGCAACAATTGGTTAAATAAATTATGTTATTCTCACAAAACTGAGTATGAAGAAGTTCTAATAAAGCATGAACACTATTTAGGTTATTAGAGAAGACCTATATTAGCATCAGGTGGGATCTTGTTAAGCTTTAGAGTAGGGAGCACATGAGTATAATTTATAAAAATTACTTGAACAAGGTAGGAGCACCTAAACATGAGCTACAGAGCCCACGGAAGTTCACCTTCCCTTCCTGGGGATTGTGGATGCAGAAAGGATAGTATTACTGGGGTTATGCAGATGTATGAATGAGGATTGAAGATCCATGTTTGATATCCACATGAAATACGAACAAACTCAAAAGAACCAACACTGCCTCATGGGCACGAGAACCGAAATAAGACAGTGAGTAGACTGTGCATTGGTAGGGAGTATAAAACTTTCTATCTGCTGAGTGGATCCGATTTGCTTAAAAGAAGTGAAAGTGGCAGGATGCTTTTTAATGAAATATTCTGTCTTTCATTGTGTGTTCCCCCTCGTTCGAATTGTAAGCAATTTCCTATAGTCCACACTGTATGTCATGCAGCGGAAGTGCTCCTCTGAAGTGCCGTTGCTACAGACGGTTCTACTGCTAATCACAGCAATACAAAACAACAACAAAACAACACTGACTGTAAATCTAGGATGCGCAAGGAAAAGAGTTTGGGAGGTGGTAACGGAAGTTCTAAACTACGTCTGTGCTTCTTGCCCTCACTGAGCTTTTTACTAGTTGTGTCAGCAGCTGGATTTCTTTCTAATGGAAATGCGAAGAGAGCCAGAGGAGAATCTCATAAACTGATTTTCCCATAATCAGTAGACCTTAACCTTACACATTTTATGTCCACGGCATGTAGCTTCTGAAACTTAAGGCCTTGTGAAAGGTCCGGCCAAGAGCATTCTTCACTTCAGTATTTCTCAAGCTATAAATGATGGGGTTCAACATGGGGGTCACAACTGTATAGGACAGCGACAGCAGCTTTTTGCTCTCAGGAGAATTATTAGACTTAGGCCTAAAGTAGGTGAGACTTAAGGATACATAGAAAAGGGAGACAACAAGAAGATGGGAGGAGCAGGTAGAGAAGGCTTTCTGCTTCCCTTTAGCGGAGGGGATCCTGAGGATGGCAGCAGCAATGCGCGTGTACGAGCAGAGGATCAGCATGCAGGGTGTCATGACAAACAGAACAGTTCCAACGATGGCATAGATCTCAAACTTGGCTGTGTCGGCGCAGACCAGCCTCAGCACAGGTGGGCTGTCACAGAAGAAGTGGTTCACCTTGTTACCACAGAACGGAAAGCTGAAGAGCCACATGATTTGCACAATACCTACTGGGAAGCCGGGGAACCAGGAGGCGGCAGCCAGTTTGGCACAGGTCCTTTGGTTCATGATGACGGGGTAGTGCAGGGGGTTGCAGATAGCTACATAGCGGTCATATGCCATGGTGGCCAGGAGGGAGCATTCATCCACTCCGAAGAAGAAGAAGAAGTACATTTGAACAGAACAGGCAAGGAAGGAGATGGTTGTGTCCTGGGCAAGCAGGGTTGCCAGCATTTTGGGTACAATGACTAAGTTGAATCCGATTTCTAAGAAGGACAAATTCCTGAGGAAGAAGTACATGGGACTGTGCAGCATAGGGTCAGCCAAAGTAACTAAAATGATGAGGCTGTTTCCCATAAGAGTGATGAGGTAAATGATCAGGAACGTCATGAAGAGTAAAGACTGTATTTCAGTAGGTAGTGAAGAGAAGCTCATGAGGATAAACTCACTTACCTTTGTCCTATTTCCTTGAGCCATCAGTGTAGGCGTACACGCTCAGCTGTGAACATGGAGAGAGATTTTATATTGGAAGAGTCTGATTCTGGATTTTTTGTTCACATTGCATCTCAGAGTCAAGGAAAGAAAACAGTCAGAATCAAATTCTGAAGTGAAAAGACCTTGTATTTTCTAAGAATAAAGACACCAGGAAGAGTGGTTAACATCTAATCTTTGAGATGTGCCCACTGTAGCTTATGAATAAATGAAAGAGTGGAAGGACCACTGAAGGGCACATTCTAGAAGAAAATGATATTCTTGGAAATACCTACAATTTTAGACACACAGACTTCATTAGTCTTTGTTTCACTAAATAACACATGCAAGTGAATTTATAAAACAATTAAAATATAATTATACATAAATGCAGAGTCATGGATTTAAAATACACACTACTATGCCAGAAATGACCAATTGAGATGCATGGTGTCATATCAGTTGTCAAAAAGAATATTTCAAGATTTGTCCTGAAGTGCAGTGTTGTCAGTGATAGAATAATATCCATATGCCTACAAAGGAGACTAGTTAATAAGAGTATTACTCAAATTTATGAACCAACTGTGTTATCTGGGTTCTCTAGAGAAATATATATAGTTTTATATCAAGAAACTGGCTCACAGGGTTGTAGAATTGGGTAAGTCTAGTTCGGTTCAAATCCTTGGGTCAGATGTTAAGCTGTGACGTTCCCTGACTTGAGCATCTATTGAGTATCTGATGAACCAAGAAGCAGGAAAACTGCAGGCTGGTGGAGGCAGAGGCATATGAATGCAAGGTCAGGAAGTGCATTGGTGAATGTAGAGTTGAAGGAATCCAAGTTCAGCAGGCAATATGGCAGGCTGCTGAAAGCTCCTAGGGTTAGCAGACAAAACACTAGGTTCATTACCCCACTTTTCACAATACCCAAAAAGTGGAGTGAATTGATAAATGAATGATAAATAAAATATAACCATACCATGAGATTAGTGAGTCATGGAGAGATATGAAGTTCAGTTGAATGTTAAAGTATGGTCAAAACCTGAAAACATGGTGACTTAAAGAAATCAGTCCCCAAAGCATGGATCCTATGTGCTTTTAGTTATATGCTAAGCAATATATATACAGAGAGAGGAGTCCTGGTACTCTTGGGCTAAATGTTGGGGCTGTTAATCTCAAGTTCGGCCGTTCAAAACAACCAGAGACTCTGTGGGAGAAAGATCACATTGCTTACTCCTGTAAAAATGTACAGCTTCAGAAACCCCACAGACAGTTCTACTCTATCCTAGAGGATGGGTATGAAATGGAATGGATTAGATAGCAAAGTGGGGGGTTTTGTGTGTATGTGTTTGTTTTTGATCTATGGGTCCCAGGAGTAGAAATCAGGGAGAAAAAGTAGGAGTTTATGTTTAAAGGATATTGATGGTATGTTAATGGAACAGAGTCATTTATAAAAGGATAGTGATAATGGTGCCACAACAAGAAATAAGTTATCAATGTCATTGAATTACACATGTAAAAAATATTGAATTGATGAATGTTTTATTGTATTTTCACCACAATAAAACACAAGCAATAAAAAAGAGAGGAAGTAAACAATTAAACTTTTTAAACACTACATCATGTTATTTTAGTCACATGTTCATATTTTTTAAACTTAAAACAAACAAATGTGCATACAGATTTAACTAAAATAAAAGAGTCCTTCTGTGCAGAAAACATGAATGAATCTATTAAAAACACATGAATAGCAATGGAAAAAAATCCAACCAACAAGCAAAAACTAGAACTAGTGTGTTAGTTGAGCCATCTGTCTATAAAAATTAATTGAATTTTTTAATATACTAGCAACCAATATGGGAACACAACATTAAAACTGCATTACTATTTACAATCACTTACCAAAAGAAATACTTAGATGTAAATATAACAAAACAAGTATAGGACTTGTAAGCTGAGAACTACACAAAACTGATGAAATGAATCAAAGATCTAAATAAGTGGATTAAAAGATTCACCACACTAAAGATGTTAATTCTTCCCAGATGTATAAATTTAAGCTATTCTTATTAAAATCATAGCAATGTTTTGCATATCTAGGTAAGATTATTTAAAAGTTTGTATTTTTTAAAAGCTAAAATAGCAAAAGAAAAACAATAAAAAAAGAATTTTTGTGCGGTTAGCCGCCTTCCTGTTGCTACTGACTCATTGCAATCCCATATGTAGAGAACAGCTCTTCTTTCCACAAGGCTTTCAAGACTACACCCTTTCAGGAGCAGAGTGCCAGACGTGTTTTCTAGGGTGCCTCTGTGTGAGTTCGAATCATTAAACTTTTGGCTAGTACCACAGCACTCAATCATTTACTAAATTGAAATAATTTGTCAATATGACAAATTTGACATTATATATCTAGCTACCTATAGTAATTTGCATCTAATATGTTGGTCAATTGTACAGGACAGAGAACACAGATATAAGCCCATAAAGTTATATGCTCAACTGATATTTTTACCAAGGTATCAAAGCAATTCAACAAAGGAAAAAAACCAAAAACCAGACTCATTGCCACTCAATGAATTCTAAGTCATAATGACCCTACAAGACAGGGTAGAACTGCCCCCATGGGTTTCCTAGACTAATTGTTTACAGGAGTAGAAAGCCTTGTCTTTCTCCTCCACACAGGAAAGATAGTCTTTTCAACAACTAGTGCTGGAGCCACTGACAGTCCATAGGCAAAAGAAATGCACCTCACCTAACTCTCACCCCTTATGCAAAAATGAACTAAAAATGGACCATGGAGCTAAAAATCAAATGTAAAGCTTTTATCAAAAAAAAAAAAAAAGAAAGAAAATCTTTGGGATCTAACACTAGGTAGAAGAGCTTTTAGACTTGACATCAAAAGTAATCCAGAAGAAAGTGGATGGTCCTGGTTATCAAACGATATATTGTCTGGGGTCTTAAAAGCTCGAAGTTAAACAAGTGGCCATCTAGCAGAGAAGCAACAAGCCCAAATGAAAGAAGCACACCAGCTTGTAGGATCATGAAGTGTTGTCTGGAGGGTAACAGGCATCAGAAGACCACAAACAAACAAACAAACAAACCCATATTGTTGAGAATGAGTGAGGTTGGAGCAGAGACTCAAAACTCATCTGTAGACAATGGAAATATCCAATCACAGATGGTTCACAAGGACGGGATGAGTCAACCAGTGTGCAGTAAAGCACTGATGAATCACACAACATTCCTCTGTTTTTTTTGAAGTTTCCTCACCTCCCACTATCATGATCCCAGTCTTTTCACTGTGGTGTAGGCTGGAGCATGTATACAGGTACAGGTAAGATATAAGAAGAGCTCAGGGCACAGGGAATCCAGGAACAGGAATCGGAGCAGAGATACCAGAAGAGTAGGGGGAAGGTGAGGAGAGGAAGGGAGGAAGGGAGAACTGGTTGCAATGATTGACACATAACTCCTCTTCCCCCTTCAGGGGAGACAAATAACAGAAACTGTGGGGGAAGGGAGACAGTGGTCTGCATAAGATATGAAAATAATGATAATTTGTAATTTATCAAGGTGTCACGAGGGTGGTGGGGGGAGGGGAAAAAGAGGAGCTGATACCAAGGGCTCAATAAAAAGGTAAATGTCTAGAAAATAATTATGGCAACATATGTACAAATATGCTTGATACAATTGATGTATGGAGTATTGTAAGAGCAATAAGAGCCCCTAATAAAATGATCTTTAAATAAAAAAGAAAAGTGCAATCTAAATTTGATAAATTAGGCCAAGTCAAAATAAAAATTACATATCTAACCAAAGAGTATACAAAGAATTATGAAAATTCACCAGTAAAACAAACTAAAAATCAAAATATATAAGGGATTTTCCTGAAGAAGTTATGTAGATGGAAAGGAACATGAAAATGTTCACCATCATTTGTAAGTAGTGAGAGGCATGTTGAAACCACAATGATAGCTGTACAAACCTATAAGAATGGGGGGAAAATCAGTGACATCATAAGGATTCAGCATGTATTGCAAGGCAGCATTTATAGAAAAAAAGATGAATTGTTTTTACTATATAAGATGTAAACATTTTAATTAAAAGCTGAGAAGAGAATTAAAGATAAATTAAACATTGGAATATTTCTTTAAGTGTCAAGAGATTCTTAAAGATTCTCCAAGAAAAAAATTAGGCAAATATATAATCTTTGATTCACAAAACCAGAAATCAAAATAGCTAAAAAATCTATGACAATATATATGAAATATATAAAAGTTCAAAGTTACGAAAAATCAAATATAAAAATTTTTAAAGAAGATTATTTTCTCCTTTGCTTTTTAAAATATCATACTTATTTTGAACAAAAGTAAGAGCACATAAACATTTAAACACTGTAGGTTAAAATAATTGGATTTTACAGCATTTATCCAAAGTAAAGAAGCAATTTCATTTTTATAATTTTAGATGTAGATTAATATGCAAACTTTACTTACTGGAATTTCCTTGGTAGTTTTAGCCAAATATAATAGAGTAATTGAAAGAAATAAACAAGCAATAACAAACCAAACAAACAAATTATATAAAAATAATAGCTAATTAAATAATTTTCGCTCAACCTGCACTATGGAATGTTATGTATTCATTTAAAATTATGTTATTGAAAAATACTAAATGGCATGAGGAATTATTCAGTATACTCTTCTCAGTCAGTAAAGTAGCCTAAAATATTATGCTCAATGTAGAAACATTAATTTAAAAAAATATTTATTTTAATAAATATAATAAAGTATGCTATATATAGTGTTATGGTAGCTGAATGGCTCACTTATGAAGCATTAATTTAATTATTACTAGTTTAATGGTACAATGACTAATATTTAGATATATTCTTTGTGTTTTTTATGTCTTACATTACCCACAGTAAAATGTATTACTTTAAAAATGAAGACTTGGGGAATCCAGGACAGAGGACCCCTTTAGGACCAGTGGTAAGAGTGGCGATACCTGGA